TATATATATATATATTAAAAACCTTTCTAATATTATAAATTGTATGTTATTTATGACACAAGCTCTACGCTTAAACGTTCGGCTACTGGAACATTTATGTTACATTTTAAATAAATCGCCGATATATGAACGACAAATTCAAATCGCAAATGTGATTACAAAATGTAACGCTATTATATCGTATTTATCCAACACACCAATTAAACACATCACGATGTGGCCAATCCCGTCGTGCACTAACGAGTGACGCGGTGACTGCTCCGCGAATAAATAACTGATTTGAACATCATTCAAAAATATCGGCGACAATCTCACTTCGATGCCGCGCGAACGACGCGATTCGATTCGCGAAATGATCAGATTTCTTCTGATCCAGACAGCATGCTTGTCCAAAATCACAACATAAGATATCTTAAAGATATCTTAAAGACATCTTTAAAACATTTTATGCCCCGATTTTTCACGAACAATTTGAGATTCACTCGATGATAGACTCCGAATAAAATTATAATCCGAAATTTGAATGTAAAATGAGAAATGACAAAAATATTCGATTTTGTAGATCTGTATAATTCCCCTGCAGACAGCAAATCTAAATTAAATCGAGATATAAGATATCAGTGGTATCTACAATAATAGAGTATAATAAGTTTTAAACCGTAAAAAATTGGCCATATAATCAATTATTCTTCTTATATTCAATTGTGATTGATATATTTCTGACAGCTTAAAGCTGACTTTTTATACATAGTAAAATGCTATTAATATTAAAAAATTTTCGTGAGCAGATGACTCACTTTCAATCGATTCTCAAAAATTTGAAATTACATGACATTTTAAAGCTTATTACACTAATCAGATAATAGCTATACCAAATATTAAGTCAAACAATTCCAATTAAATGTTCAATTAATGTAACCAAAAATAATTTTACTTTTCTATAAAATATTCAGTAGATAAATATTTTCAAATGATTGATTATATTATTAATTTTGGTAATACAATTTGGTGTACTTACCAAATATTCAGAAAAATTAAATTATTTTTTATTATAAACTAGAGCGGAATTTTTTCATCCATTTCTCGTGGTAATATTTATATTTATAAATGGCACGTATTAAATATTTCGTAGTTGTTCTGGTGTTATCAAAGAACAATTATGGTTGTGAACAATAATGTAGTTGTAAGCACGTCACTGCAAAAAATATATTGTTTACCATATCGTTTTTCGTATTATTTTAAAATTGAAACTAACAGAAGCCCCGTTCTACTATATTAACTAAATATTTAATTGGAATTATTATTTCACTCTCAACATTTATTTCAGTGTACTTTATTGTAGATATCGCATTAAAGACACCTCAAAGATATATTTAAGATGTCTTATTCCATTCTTCGACGTGCTATCTGTAGGGAATGATACAGATTTACTTATTAAATCGAATATTTTTCGCGTTCCTCATTTTACATTCAAATTTTAGATTATGATTTTATTCGGAATCTATCTCCGAGTAAATTTGAAGTTGTTCGCAAAATGCTAATCGCAGTGACCATTGACCCCTTATCAGGCGATGCCGAGCTATCTTTCGGGGCGAATTTCATTTTGAATTGGAGAAGGAGCGTTAGGATTTCATGTAATATCGCAGTCGACGGCGACCATTATCGTGTCCCATTGCATCTCATCGCGCGAGTGGAATTTTTTAATACTGCCATTTGATCTGAAAGTCAGATGAAATCCATTCTGAAAGATAATTTGCGATCACGGATCGAAGCAGGATTTTAAATCGCAGAATACAATTGAGTTCCTCGTGTGTGATAAACTGCGATGTCACAAGTAAGTTTCGAATCGATCCATCTTCGAATTTGTTTTTGTCATCTACCGTCAATGAAGAGAGGAAGGTTTTCAAATTCGCATAATCCGGAAAAGCAGATTCCAAATCGTTAAAGTTCAGTCACGCAACATTCATCTTTCTGTTAATTAAGCGAAATTAAGTACCAGTAATTTAATTTAATTAATTAAATATCGATAATTAGAGTAAGTTAAATTAGTTGTCATTACGCGAGCAGTTGGATGAAATAATAACAGGTAAAAATAAAAGTTAATGGATATATTAAATAACCAATTAGCAAGTACAATAAGTAGGATTTAACATAAAATTATGTAACACTTTGTACTTAATGTTTGTTGTCTTGCACTCTTTTTTCCTCTTTTCGGACTTCCTCTCTTTATTCAAGAATCAGTAATATAAAAATAATGCGCTATAACATACATTTATTAATTTACAATAGTATTGGTCACTAGTGCGTCCATCTAGCAGTAGTCATTAACAACTATCTTCAATTTCTCCGAATGCTACTTTATCGATAAAATTATTAAAAATATTGCAGTAATTTCATGCAAATCTCATAAATCGCAGCAAAAATAAATTAATTCAATTGTTAACTTTTCTATTGGAAATAAATAAGACAGTAATTTCAGATGAAATCGAAGAGTGGACATGCCTGCGGTTTTAGGTGTAATCTTTAAAGCTCTATACTATATTAATAAAAGTAGCGCAAAAGTCCGCTACGTTACTTTTTGTAACTTGTCACCATTCTGAGTAACGCGATTTTACCAATATTAGTTTTTATACAATTATAAGTTATCGCTATACCACGTCATAAAAAACTGCAAGGTCATTGCTAAATTATTTCCCATCAGACAGTACACAATATTTATAAAATATTTACAAAATATTTATAAATATTTATAAAGTTTATTTTAAATAATTTGTAAATATTTTTGTGGTCTTAAATTGCATAGATCATAAACACTTATGATAAATATTAAAACATTTATTGTAAATTTTGTATAGTAAATGCTACGAAAATACTTAATAAGACATAATAATTCAAGTAAAAAATATTTACCAAAAATATTTATTTATATTTATTATAAATATTATATCAAATATTTAGTCTATCTTTTAATAATATTTCAAATAAAACTTTACATAAAATATATATAAAATATTTATATAACATTTCAAAAAATGAATAGCAATAAATATTTATTATAAATATTCTATGCTACCTAGGTATTACAGAAAGTAAATAATGGCTACCTGGACAAATAGTGTGGAAAAATATGATAAAAGATGGATAATCTTAATAATAATAATTTATAAGCATTAAAATACAATCAACATAATTACTTATAAATTTTTAACTGTTGTTCCTCAAACTGGAGGAGTAATATTTGATTAAATAAAAAAATCATAGGTTAAAAAGAGAGATCAAACTGTGATCAAAATATTTATTCATTAAAAAACAAAATAGCGTTTTACTAAATAACTTACAGATGAAAAAAAATATTATAATATTTACTGAATACTGAAACAAATTGACTGTTAATCAAATTAAAATCTGACTTGTAATTGCCATTTTTAATGTAAATATAATTTTTGTTATAACAAAGCTGTAATTAATACTGTTATTTTTGTATATAAAAATTTGTATATAAAAATTGTATATTAAAATATATGGTATATAGCATCAATTTCAAGAAATTCTGTTTCAATTTTGCGAGTGTACTACCTTAAACCCAACAAGGACATAAAATTAAATAAAAGAATTAAGCAGTGAGCATATACTGACAATTTCGTCTTTTGAACGCATTGTCAATTGTACACGACGGTGTTTCTGTGTTTCACAGCGTCCAATTGTATCTCCTAGAAATATTGTATCATCTGGAAAACTTCCATCTATGCATATAACATCTCATATAGAAGTTACATCTTTATTCTTCACTTTTTTCATCAGTTTGTCATTATTGTTAAAAGTAGTCATAATTGTACTTGATTTATTTGTTGTCAGTTGCAGTTTGTTCTTGACTTGTCATACAGGTAATGCCATTTGTGTGACTCTAAAAAATAAATAATTTTTTATATATTAAATATGTTGTGGTACATACATTACTATAATTTATTATAATATGATCATGAATATATAACAAAAATAGAAAGACAAATGTGAATCTGCTGATGAATTAAAACGTTATATCATGAATGACCTTTGTTTAAATGTGTTAATCAAGTCCTTTTTTTTCGGTTATAGCGCTTGCCACACACCAAACATTCAATGGCTCTTTATCGCTGTATAAAACTGTGGTTAACTTTATGTTGTTTTGTACAAAAGATTTTGCCGCAAATTTAAAATACAGCACATTTATGATCACAGAAAGAAAAATAAAAACAATCAAATAAGAAATAATTACTTAGAAAAAATACTAGCAATAATTTTGTAGCACATACCTCGCAAACATACGGTTTCTCGCCTATATGTATTTTCATGTGCTGTTTTAAGTACATAAGGTGGATAAATGTAGATGGACATTGATCACATTTGTACTTTCTGAATGTACTGTCAGAATGATCCGTGTCCACATGATAATACAAATCCTGCTGAGTTTTGAAATTTTTCTTACACACAATACACTTGTAATTTTTACATACACCATTGCAATGCTGTGACAGCTTGTGCATGTTTAGATATGATTTTCGTCTACAAAAAAAAATGACCATAGCAATACTTGTCATTTGTTATCAATAAATTTGAGCATAGAGATCGAATTATAAAAAATTCGTTTAATTTAATCTTTGTGATTCACTTAAATACTCACTTAAATGCTTTTTCACAAAACTCGCATTGATAAAGTTTTTTATGTGTATGGATTCTCGCATGTTCACGTAATTGTGATTTATACTGAAACGTTTTATCACACGTTTCGCATTTGTAGGGTTTAACTTCAGTATGTATGTTTATGTTGTTGCAAAGTTTTTTTGCAGCGAATAAACTGTTTATCTTTAATAATAAAGAAAATTATTATTATAAAACTAATATGAAAATAACACAAACTATAGCAATCAGCTTTAAACGGTCTAGCTGGATCTTAAATGCTACTATGATTCTGTGTGAATTTATATACAATACTATGTATGTGGTCTTTTGAAACGCGCGTCGAAATAATTTTTCGGTCTTTGAAACGCTAACTTTACTAAACTATCGCAATAATATCACGAGTTGTCAAGCAATTTAACAATTTTGATGCTTTTTCGCATCTTCGAACGATCTTAATAATGCTGAAAGACATATTAAAATCTGTAAATAATTAATTCTTATTGCGAAAAATATTACCTCGGCCGGGAGTCGAACCCGAATCTTTTGCATTCCCTGCGAGCATCCTAAGCCTTTAAACTATCGAGATTAAACATGAAAATTATAAAATAAAATGTATAACTGTTGAGGTAATATAAAGTTATAAAAAACACTGAAAATATTAATCATGAACGATATAAGTCTTACTGCACTGTTGGTATACATATTCTGTTGTGCCATTATGCATTATTTTCAATTGTCGATTTAAATATTGCGGAGCATGAGATTGATGGAGTATTTCCTCTTTTTTTCAGATACGACCCTCAAACTCTTCAGGTGTATTTCTCGATTAACTTTGTTGTAACGTTCCCTAAATTCTTTTCGTAATTCTTACGGTCTAAATTTTTTTGAATGCGTATATTTTCAAGTTTATCCGCCTAAAACCGTAAGAAAATATAATTTTTTAATAACATAAATTTTTTATCGAAAAAATATCACGGAAAATCGCCGTTGACGTAATTACTTTTCCCATTAAACAGCTTAAAACACTTTGCGAAATGAGAGTTGAATACATTGTTATAACAATATCTAAAACAACCGATGTAACATTTAGATATAGAATTATCAAAGACACTTGACGTGTATACTGGTTTTAGTGGATATTGAATTTTACACAACAATAAGGACTGTATGAAATACTTCATCAAAGTCAGCCATCATTTTTTAACGCATTTTACTGCTAAATTGATGTATTTTATCGTTAGTAATATTCAATATGTAATTTTGTTTATTCTACATATAAACATTTCTTTATTCTTTTCCTAATTTACGAAATATTAGTAAATTTTTATAAGTAAAATGTTAGATTGAAAACATAAGACGTTAGAATTGATTAAACGTAATTCACTGACGATTGAATTGAGTACGAATAGCAATATGTAAATAAGAAACCGCCAAGGTTGAAAGCAATCATCTTGTATACATGATTAATAAGTATAAAAAAAAGGAAAATTAAGAATAAATCATTAAATTGTTTATCATATTTAAACATTTATTAAGTAGAAATTAGAGAATTTAATGAGTAATTGAAAAAATCTGTTTTATGTTTGACGATGAGAACAAATTTCAAGCAATAAGATTACAACATAGATTACATAAAACGATAACTGTCATGAAAAGTAAAAAAGACGAAATAGAATAATTAAGACAGAATAGAGAGACTAATAAATTATAAAAAAAAAGATATTTGTAAAATTAGAATGACCTGAAGTTAACTTATAAAACTAAAATTTTGATACTTTCATATCTTACATGTAATGCTTACGGCTCAGACGTAGTAACAAAAACAATTACGGTTGAATTTCAAATTTATTGACAACTAA